ACAAAGTTAATTTGCTCAGAAATCTGCACATTTAGCAACTGATGGAGATGGGATTTAGACCCAGGCATTCTGGCTTCTACGTAGATATATTGCCACTGAAGCTATTTCATAAGAAAACTGGTTGTCATAAGTGACCGAGCCATGGCAATTTGTAGATACATAGATCCATAGCACACATGCATGTGATGCTTTAAAATTGCAGTTGGCAAGGTGGTGGTTGGACTATAAAATAGAGGAGCTTACTGTAAGAAATGCCCTCTTTTTCTGCAGTGTATCAGCATTCTCTCTTTGCATACCTGGTAGAATCTAGTTTAGAATAAGAACAATATGTTTCAATCACAGAGTAGAGTCAGCAAACTTTTCTACAGAATGGTAGATAATATTTTAGGTTTTGTGAGACAAAATTCCTGTTGCAACAACTCACTTAAATCTGCTTTACCAGTCACGATGTACTCTTAAGCAATATGCAAATCAAGAAGTGTTCCTGTGTTCCAGTGAAATTTCAACACAGAAATGAGATGTGCAGATTTATAGTAACTTATTAGTAAAGCTTTTCATTTCTTTATTTCAGTTGGAAGAAGCACAGAGTCAGCACACTGATGCTGTCCAGTGTGCTGAGAGGATGCAAGACCGCCTACAAAAGTAAATCTAAATAAAAGTAAATCTAAAACTGTAACTCCAGTATTTATAAAGCAATACGCAACACAGGGTGACAGTTCTGTCGGTTATGGTGATAAATAATGTTTGAAGTTGGGGGTAATTCTCAGCTTTAAGGTTCTTGAATTGCATAATTTAGAGCAGGGGTACAACTAGGGGTGTAGTATGTGCATGAAGCTCTAGGTTCAAAAATAACCTTAAAAAAAGAGAAATGCATAGTTTCTGTACATTATCCACAAAGCAGCCAGAAACATAGTTAATAAATCATCTGTTTCTCAGATTTTTTTTAAATTTTATTATTTTTATTTTATGTGCATGAGTGTATTGCCTGCATGTAGGTAGGTGCACCCCTGTTGTGCAATGCCTGCAGAGGGCAGAAGAGGCTGTCGGAGCCCCTGGGACTGGAGTTACGGACAGTTGTTAGCTGCCATGTGGGTGCTGGGATTCAAACCCGGGTCTTCTGCAAGAACAGCCAGTGTTC